CAGTTTTAATATTGTTGAATGTGTATTTTTAAGTTGCATTCCCCAAATCAAGAACCAAATTTATAGCTTGTTTGTTTATTTCCTGTGGTTTATGAAGCTATTTAATGTGGAAACCATTTTATACCTTTAAAAGAAATTAATTTTCTTCCTTCCTTCTTTCCTCCCTCCCTCCCTCCTTCCCTCCCTCTCTCCCTTCCTCTCTCTCTCTCTCTTTCTTTCTTTCTTTTTTTTTGAGATTGGGCCTTGCTATGCAGTCCAGGCTGGCATGGAATTTACAATTCTCCTGTCTCAGCTGTGCAAGGATTATGGTTATAAATGTGTATACTTTTCTTCCAGTTGAGGTTGATACTAACTTAAGCCAGTAAGCCCAGCAGGACTCTGGTCCTTGAGCTTTCAGTTGCTCATTGGATGATACCCTACCCATTATTCACACTCCGCTTGTTGTTTATTTCATTCCAGGAAGTGGACCAGAGAAGGGCAGCTTACCTGTTTTCCTTCACATGACTGTCAAATATTTGCAAAGATGGCCGAATGCCATTGACTCATTCCTGTAATTCTAGTTATCCAGGAGGCTGAGATGTGGAGGATCAAAGCCCAGACAGAAAAATTTGTCTCTAAAATAACCAGCACAAAAAAGCAGGAGTGGAGGTGTAGCTCAAGTCGCTCAGCTGAGCAAGTAAGCAAGTAAAGTGAGCCCAAGGCCCTGAGTTCAAACCCCAGTACCAGTAAAAAGAAAAAAAAGGAAGGATAATTTTGAGTTAGTTTTCTTCTCTTTAGACACCAATGATGAGGTAATTTGTGTATCCCTACAGTAGAATATAATATTTAATAATCTTTGCTATCCAGTGATAGTTTCAGGCAGATGGGAGCTTTGCTGTTGTTGGAAACATGGAAGGAATTATTAGTTGTGTTGTAATCTTGAGCTGAAAATTTATACTCAGTTGAGAGATAAGTTAATTTAGCAGAAAGAATGAGTCATGACGCTTGGTCTTGACCTCTAAGACAGGATTAATAAACATAAATTGTTTATTATTTTAGTCACAAAAGCTAGAGTCATGGCAAGTGAATCTTGTTTGCAAGCATTTTGTGTACTTTCAATTAGTTGTCATTGGTTATTTAGACTGTTAAAGAGTCCTGCAGATCGAAAAGTAAAAGGAAATATCTTTCTATTCTGGAATGTTGCAGCTTTGTTTAATGGGAAAAATATTCTCTTACCCTTCTGGAAGAAAATGTTCCACTGAATAATTGATGCTTCTAAAATGAATTTTATGTTACTGGAATAGGTTTCATTATCTAAATGAATGTGAGCTAAGCCCCTCCTCAGTATTAACTATTTCCATATAATAAGCATTCTGAATATAGGAAAACTCAGCTGACTTGATCAGTCTCAGGTGGAGGTTAGAGCATGAATTATACAGAACCAAACCAGGAAAGCAATCAAAATATGCAAATCAACAACTGTCCCTGGCCTTAGTTTGGTTCCAATAAGCTAGAATATAAAAACTGGAAACTTACATAATTTTGGATTGCAAATTTATTATTACACTTTTAGACTCATTTCAAAATAATTTGTAATGTAGTAGCTTTGATTTTTATTTTGTATAAAGTACAGAATGCATTGTGTTTGCTGACAAAGGAACAGAGTAAATCATGGTTTTATTGTTCCCTAGTGTTTCTGGCATATTTTGAATTAGATGTTCTTGCTTCCAAAATGTGTACTTGGCTCAAAATGATATAAATACACTCCATATTCCTGAGTTAATACTTCAAGAAATTCCTTCTTATCTGAGGATAATTAGAATCAGACGGAGGCTAGCTAAAGCAATCTACTTACATGGAGAGTTCACATGTAAAAGTAAACTGGAAGTTATGACGGTAGGTTTGTTCTAGCTTATATTTAACAGAATAAAGAGCGTAAATATCAAGTATTATTTTAAAAGGAGCAATTTTTTGGATAAAGTTTCCAAAATTCTCCTTATGGTGGATTCACATCTATTTTAAAAAAATAGATTGGCTATAGGACCCATTAGACTGAAAAGAAATCAATATGAACTTATGTGGTTTCTTTTCATTACAAATGCGGTCATTACACTGCCTTTTGCGTTACATTTGACATTTCAGTCACATCATAAAGATGACCAATGCTAGTAAAAACTTTCAAAATACTGGCCATTTTTTGGAGCCTTTTAGATGCTTTCATAATTAAAGAGCTTTTTTTTTTCAATCTACCCAGACTGGGTTTAGACCTTGATCCTCCAATATCGGGCTCCTGAGTAGCTAGGATTACAGGTATGAGTATCAGTGCCTGGTTTTAAAATCATTCTTAAAATCTCTGCTACCCACTCTTCACTTAATGATTGCTTCCTAATCAAACTGCATAGTCACAATTACTTTATTTGTTGGGGAAATTTCTAACATTTTATAAACATCACACAACTCTGTGTTTTGTGGCAAGATTTTTCAGATTCCTTTTACAACAGATGTAAGGCATTATATGGGAATGAAGATGAAGACAAAATTTCTGTTAGATGCTCAGGTTTTAGTGTGGTTAGTTTTTAGGAAATAATCTGAGGATTTTGAAGCTATGATTTTTCTGGACAAGAGCATCCCTATAGAAACTCAGATAATGAATTCTTATCTTTGTTTGCCTCTGTAGTACAAGTGGAGAGACTCCATTCTAGTCTCAGTTCTAATTAGTAAATAACCTAATCTGACCATGAATAGGTGATTGATTTCTTTTGGCATATATGCTCTTATATATACCAACATTCTGTGATTCTAAGTTGCTAGATATTTTAAACCTGTCAAGATCAACATTATTCTGCTTTCATAGAATCCTAGAATTTAACAGACATTGGCCAGCTTCTTTCATTTTTTTGTACTCTATTTATATCTATCTGTCTGTGTGTATCTATATTTCATTATTGCTACAGCTTCACCTAATTACCATCAAGCTCTTGGAAAAGTTGTAAATAGTATTTCAGTACTATTAACTTCTGCTCTTAATTCAGTGTTTGTACATCTGTCCTGTCCCACATCTCTCCTTTCTAATGACTTGTGATTTATTGGGTAGATGAGATTAATATATGAAAATAATTCCTGCAATTGGTCAACCAGCTATCTTCAGACATTTTTTTTATGCTGGTAGCTGGTCTTGAATAAAGCTCTTGCTTAGCTTTTTTGCTTAAGGCTGGCACTCTACCAAATGAGTCATAGCTATACTTCTGGCTTTTTTGGTGGTTAATTGGAAATAAGAGCCTCACAAGCTTTCTACCCAGACTGTCTTTGAACTGTGATCCTTATATCTCAGCCTCCTGAGTAGCTAGGGAACAGGCGTGAGCCATATTTGCATACTTTTAGAAGTTTGGGGGATTTTTTTGTTTTTTGCCATATGACCATAGCCATCTTCAGAAGTAGACTTCTTTTTTCTTTTTTGTTTTTTTGAAAAACTTCTCAGACCTATCACAGTTCAAGTTATGTCTCAGGACTGAAAGGCTTTTTGTTGCTGCTGTAAACAGGAAGAAACAAACACTAAATGAATCAGAAGGCGGACAAAGGGAAATCGCAAAAACATAGTATTTACTGCTGCCAGGCTGGGCAGATTGAGATCGGGAGAGCCCAGGAGGCATGGAACAAGCTAGAAGCTCAGGCTGGGCTCTGAATGGCATCCTAAGACATTTGGTGGGCCCTACCATACTCCATGTAGCATTTAATCACTTGGGAAGGTTGAGACCTCTGGCTTGTGGTTGGAGCAGCCGCCCTGGGCAGGGAATAAAGCCATCAGTCATTATTAGAAGGAAGACAGTCCCCAGCAGCAGATGGGTTCTCAGTGGTAAAGGATCCACAGACTGAATTAGCCCATTGCTACATTATTAAAAACGAAGCCCTTTTTATGTTTCTTCAAGATCTTGGGAATTTTCAATGTACCCTTGGGGGAGGGCAGAATCGTTGGTCTGTCTGTTGTAATTTGATTTGCTCCCTGTTACCCAGATGAAGGAAGAGTAATTGGTACAAGGAAATGTTGACTTCAGTCCTGTGGAATATGTGTGTGAGCTGTGTGCCATGATTGTTGATCATAGCTAGTTACAGTACTAAGGAAGGTGTTAGGGAAGAAAGGGAACTATGAATTGTAGAAATTGGGGGTAACTTTTCTGTTCCAAGTAGTCATTGAAGGTGTTTCAAGTGAAACCAGATTAAATCAGATTCAAGGAAGTGCAGGCATGGCTCAAGTGGCAGAGCACCAGCCTTGAGCAACAAAAGCCAAATGTGAGCCAGATGCCCTGTGTTCAAGCCCCAGTACTGGTGCAAAAATAAATTAATTTAATTAAAAGAAAAAAGTGCTGTACAAAAAAAAAAGGTATGGGACAGTGTCCAGGCTCTGAGTTCAACAACCTGTATTACTGGTATGTACACACACATACACAAACACACACACAGAGCAAATTTAGTGAGGGCAACAGGGCAATTTTAATCCTGACTTAAATTACCAGATAGGGGCCAGAGGTGTATTAGCAAGCCATAGGGTACACAGTTAGATGTCCTTGGAGTTCAATTCTCTGCACCTAAGTAAGTAAGTAAATAAATAAATGTAAACTTGTCAAACTAGAGTTTTTGTGGGTTTTTTTTGTTTGTTTGTTTGCCAGTCCTGGGGCTTGAACTCAGGGCCTGAACACTGTCCCTGAGCTTCTTTTGCTCAAGGCTAGCATTTTACCACCTGAGTCACAGTACCACTTCTGGCTTTTTCAGTTAATGTGGTACTGAAGAATTGAACTCAGGGTTTCATACATGCTAGGCAAGCACGCTACTGCTAAACCATTTTCTTTCATTTTGTCAAATTCCACTGCAATAGGTCAAAGGGCAAGAAGGGGTATTGATCAAATAGGAGGTGAGCTGAAGCTCATTTTAGCTCATCCCAGCTCTCATATGGGCATATTTCAGCTTACAAGTTACAGCCTGTAATTCTTAAAACCTTTTGCTTTCCTCCCTAGATTCGAGCTGCATTGGACACTGGTTGTTTTCTAAAATTAAAGAAGCTCAAGAAGAGATGGTGAATTCTCTTTGAGTTTCAACCAACAGGATAAAAGGTAATTACAGATGATTTTAGAATGTGTTTGCCATACTTGGGTGAGGTCAACTGCTATAGTAGCAAATAAGGAAGAAAGAGTTCTGGAGTCTGGAGTTTTGCTCTTGCAAAAATTAACTTAGTACTATTAGGATTTAGTTATGTGACAAAAGACAACAACTAGACTATATTCTTCTTGAAAAGCCTTTTTGGCCAGGTCTATTTAAGGATTAAGGTGTTACCTGCCTAAGCAGTTAACAACTGATACACCCTCCCCCTCTCCCTCCTTTCTTCTTCCTCTCCTCCTTCTCTCCTGTCTTCTTTTCTTCCCTTCCCCTTTGTCTCTCCTCTCCTTCCCACTCCTTTTCTCTTATGGAACCCTGGCTGTGTCCTGCTGAGCTCTATCCCCAGCCAGTCATTTTCTCAGCCCACATTCTTAAGTCTGTCTCCTCCCCTGCCTGTTCTGTGCTGAGAATGGACACAAATGATTGAATGACAAAGTTATAGGGGCTCCTTTTAGTTACACATAAGCTTGATTTACTTTTGCAGTGCTAGTGATGTTGTAAGGTAAATCATCTCAGAAGCCACATTTTAAAATATAGAATATTGGAGTCTTTATTATACAGTGAACAGGCTGCAAGCCTGTTGTTACAAAGGCCTGCTATAGCATACAAATACACATAACACAGCTAGGAAACATGCTAAAGAGGAAAGAAATAACAAAAACAATACCAGCAAGCCAATTCAGCTCCAATGGGGAGCTGAATTGGGACTCCATGATGACTGGAGACAGCCAGGAGACAGGACACAGGACACGATCACAGAGACACACGTGGCATGGAGTCCTGGCAGCTGGGCTGGTCTGGGCCTAAATAGGTCAGCACAGGGGGAAGATCCTCAGGAAATTCCCAGTCCCAGGCACTGGACTGACAGATTCAGTAACCTATCAGCCAAGTGCCTGCCCCTGCCTCCAGGGGTCCAGGCACACCCATTACCTGTGAAGCAGGTGATGGGGTTCGGGGCAATTTCCTTCCCCCAGCATGAAGACAAGATGTCAAATCCTACCATCCACCATGTGGCCAATATGGTGCCACCAGACCAGGCCTCCTTACTACAGTGATGGTAGCACAAAATCTCTCCATGGTCTTTCATTTCTACAGACAGTCACAGTTCCTCAAACTGCCAACTCCTTTTTTCCTTTCTTTTTTAACAGCTGGATTTATAGCTAAGGGAATCATATTTAAATTTGTATTCATTTAGCTGCCTGGATCAAAGGGTAGAGAATGAATGTAAAGAAACAGAATTTCACTTGGAAAAAATTATATTAAGTGAAGTAAGTCAGGCCCAAAGAAACATAGGTCCCATGAAACATAAGTCCCATGGTTTCCCTTATTTGCAATAACTAGTATATGTCTGAGTCAAACAGAAGAGGTTAGATAAGTTGATGTTAGGGAAATAAACCCTAAGATATGTATTCAAATGTTTTTTTCTTTCATGCATTGTTTCTAACACAATAATAAGATTATTTCTTTGTTGCTTTGTATGTCCCTCCCCCACAGTATAACCCTGCTTTCACTGTATTTGATGTCGGTATAATTTGTGGAGGGGAAGGGGGAAAACAAATTGTTTAAATAGGGATACAGGTGGACCCATTGCAACAATGAGATGTACAAGTCGTTATGTCAAAAACAAACTTTACAACTTTGGAGGGGGGGAGGAGGGTTGGAGTAGGGGGTGGGGGGGAAGGATGGGATTGGAAGGGGAAACAAAGGAGGAGGCTACAATGCTTGATAAGAAATGTACTCACTATCTTGCCCATGTAATTGTAACCCCTCTGTACAGTATTTTCACAATTAAAAAAAAAAAGAAACAGACTCTCTCCTTATGTCCAATACAAGTCTATCACTTGAACTTAAACTCCCTGAGGAACAGTGTTTGGAGTGGAGCAGGTGCTCAGTAAACAGTTACTTAATAAATTAAATAAGGCATTTCTCTGACCAAACCAGAAGTTCGTTGGGGAGAGGATCAGTCAGTGTGACTGGACTGACAAGGCAACTTCTTTCTGCACTGGCCACTTTCTGTGTGGCCAGATGCTTCCATGTGGGCTCCTCTTGAACATTGTATTGTCACTGTCTGTGATTGTATAAAAGATTCTTTCCAGGTTGCTTACAGGTCAGGAAGCAGAAACTGAGTCAGTGCTGGTGTCTCTATCAGGCCCCCTTGACAGGCTATGCTGGGCTGACTCCTTAGTCCCTCCCAGGAAAAGATCTGATGGGCTGCCATGACAGAGGGTGGAGAGCAGGAAGGGTGTGCTCCAGTTGTCCCTGAGCCTTCCTCCTCCACTCGGGCTTCATCTTCATTGTATGGTGAGTCACTTGGAGAAAGAATTGCCTGTCCCTTTTGGAGGGTTGAGGTGGCTCCTCTGTTTCCCTTTCCTGCCTGTCTGAGGAGTCATGCTTATGGTATAATAACTACTGTGGCTGAGACCAGGGACCTAGTATTTTATTGCAGCATGCATAATGTCCTTGGCAGCAGATAAGAAGAGACCACTCATGAAGAGACCACTCTGGTTCTGATGCTCTAATAACATCTTTGAATAGGGGCCCCAAGGGAAAGCTTCCATTCTTTCCCAGGCAATCTTTAGGAGAGAGAGGTAGGTAACCTGGCACAACCCCCACGCAAAGCATGGATATCTGGGAAGGAAATTTGGGGTCCAAGGACTTTAAAGTGGATAATGGATGTTTTCTTGTGGGCTGCTAACTAACTTTGTGACAGTTGACTTACATCACTCTCCTTCAAGCCTGTATGAGCTCTCATTCTGTGTCACATAATGGTGCCCACCTGTAAGTGCCCGAGCCTCACTTTGCAGTTCCTTTCACTGCTATGCCAGTTGCCAATGCGATACTCTTAGGACAGTTTTGCCTCCTGTGGGAGGCTCATGGCTTCCCTGCCCTTCAGGTATGCTGTGCCAGCCATTAGGGAGGCCAGCCTGGAAGGTAGTAGTGTCCATGCACACTGGCCACCTCCTCCCTCCTTTCCTTCCCCTTTCCTGCCTGTTCTTCATATGCACAGGACTCACCACCTTTCCTTTTTCTGTAGCTAATCAATTAATTTTTTAAAATTCTTTTAGGTAGTAGTATGAAGGGGTTTCTGGTCAACGTATCAGTTTGTGATCAATGTCACCCTTCTTGATCAGTGTCACCCTTTCCATCCTTCTCCCCATCTTTGCCAACCCTACTCCCCCCCTCAAGCTTCCCAGTTCCATTTTCACATCTGTGCATTGGATATTATGATTGCATCCTCCCTTGCATCCACACTTGCTTGTTTATTCTGTTCATTTGCCTTACCTCTTCTTGATCTCAACCCTGACAAAACATGTTCCACTCTCTAGTATTCATTTTGTTGAATGGTGAGTTGGCTGTTCAAAAGAGTTGCCCCACTGGAATTCTCCCTCCTTTATATCATTGTATCATACTTTAATCAGTATATTTGTGTGTAGATGTATATGACTCTCTATGTTTTCATGTATCTCAACTCATAGTTTGTCTTTGCACTGTTAATCTTGGTCTCTGACCCAAGGCTAAAGTCCAGAGTCTCTGCATGGTGTTCAAGGGCTTTCTGATTCTGGCTCCCATCCTCAGTCCCAGGCAATACAGTAACTGGCTTTCTCAGGTTCACTGGTAGCCATGTAGCCTGAAACCCACTCCCCATTACCTAAATACCTTTGGATCATTCAAGTGCCTCTTCAAGTGTCATTCAAGTGCCTCTTCCAGGAAGCCACCTGGATCTCCTGTATATAGACAGCAAGGGTGGGGAAAACAGACAGAATTCATGTGAGTGTATGCTGTAGATGCTCATCAACTTAGCCAAAGGCCCTTCTGTAACGATGGAACTGGATCTGGCCATAGCATTGTAACACAGTACATAGATGTTTAGAATGTGGCTAGTTTTCTTACCATTCTTTACATCTTCCAAATCTGACATCAGTGCTTTTTGTTTTAGGTTATTATTTTTGCTAACAGAATAATAAAGAAAGAAAGAAATCATAGAAAACAGGGTACTTGTGGCTCACACCTGTAATCTTAGCTAATTGGGAGGCTGAGAACAAGAAGACCAAGATTTGAGACCAGCATGGGCAGAAAAGATAGATTCCATATCAAAATAATCAGTGAAAACAGGGCTGGAGGCATGGCCTAATGATTAATACCATTCTAGCAAGACAAAGTCCTGAGTTCAAACCCAGCACTATACATATACACACATACAAAACAGGAATCTTATTTGCTGTAGAGGAGAGAAGAGAAGAGAATTTTTAAGTGGGAGTTCCCATGGTTTAATCCATGGCTTCTATGGCTCTATCAACAGCTACTTCTAGTCTCATGAAGATATGTCTTATGTACTTCACAATATAGAATGATTAAGTTAGGAGAACAAGTTAGCCCTTTCAGTTGCTTAAAGTACCTTTGGGGTTGGGTATAGGAGTGCATACCTATAATCCCAGCTGCTCTAGGAATGAAGATGAAAAAAAGTGGGGCACATATATCTATAATGGTCAGCTTCAGGCATAGTCTGTTTCAGGCAAAACCTCAAGACACTCCAGAAAAGTAACTAAAAGAAAAATAATTGGCTCAAGTGATAGAAAACATCTGCTTAATAAATATGAGGTCCTGGGTTCAAACTTCAGTACCACCAAAAATTTAAAAAAAGAGAGAGAAAAAGAAAAAGAAAAGGCTGGTTGCCAGTGGCTCATACACACTTGTAATCCTAGCTACTCAGGAGATTGAGATGTAAGAATGCCTATTCAAAGCCAACTTGGGCAGGAAAGTCCATGAGACTCTTATCTTCAATTAACCACAAAAAAAAAGAGCCAGAAATAGAGCTGTGACTTCAGTGGTAGAGCACCAGCTTGAGGAAAAAAAAAGCGATGAAAGAGGGTTTAGGCCTTGACTTCAAACCTCCATACCAGCACACAAACAAGCAACATCAAAAATCAAACCAGTCAATCCAAACAGTTCTAATCTC